CGCTGCGCTGTTCCCCAGCCCATGATGATGATGATGCAAATGTGTTGTTGTTGTTTTTCTCGTTGGTTTACTTGTTGCATTGTGCACATTGACATCTGGTGAATGTTGCATCTATGCTGCTGGTTGTTGCCACTTTCATCATTGCTAGATCCTAGGCTGTTAGTGCATTTTACTTTCTGATATGCAACAGAGAGAGAGAGAGAGATGCTTGCTAAACACAAACTCTCTCTCCACACAGAACGTCCGATTTCAGTTATGGTCGGCATTTAAAATAATAAGCTTATGACACGTCGCAGTGACCTCATGGACTGGATGGTCGAGTAGATGATGCCAGCAATGGTTCCGTTAGGGGGCATGAGATTGGATACCAGTTGTGGAAACTTTAGCATGAGGCAAATTTGCTTTTTCACTTTGGATGGACAGTGGACATTGCTTGACAGTGGATATTGGTTGGGTTTCCTCGTCGGCAGGAGGAGGCTGCCGAGTGGGCTGATACAATAAGGAGGGATCAAACAGAGCAAGAATGCATGATTCTGCAGAGGCCTCTCAGTGAAGCATACATTCGAGGCTCGCCAGCTAAACGCCAGAGGGTGAGTATTGCCATCCATGGTTTACCCCAAACTCTTCCTTCTTGCACAGTCTTTCGGAAGTTTCATGTTTTTCTGATGTGGGTTGTTAAAGTGAGTGCCGTGATTTGAATATCGTCTGGTGCATTGAATCAACATGGGTTTGTCATGTCACTTCGCGTTTCCTGAAAAAAAAATGAATTGGTGTGGTAGCAGGGCTGGGCCAGCGACTGGCTGGTTCTGACATCCCGGATCTTACCGGGCTGGAATCGTTTTTTTTTTTTTTTTTTTTTTTTTAACCACCACTGCCTTTCACAGGCAAACACAAAGTCCATCTAGTAGCCTACTCCTGAAAACACGGGGCCCGGGGCAGGGCTGGAGGCCGACGAAAAAAAAAAGGGAAAATTTGCGAAACGCCCCTCTGACAATGACTCAAGTTTCCAGAAACCCCCCGGCGAATATGTTCAATATGCCCCTACCGGTACCACTGCCAACTTTTGAATATGCCCCTACCTGTTGGCCGTTTAGGACCTGCACTAGAATTTGCTATATGCCCCTATCGGTACCATGCATCTTTCCAGTATGCCCCCACGGCCGTTGTTGACAGTCGCGGCCGTTCCCCTGGCCCTGGGATGGGAGCTACCGGGGTATATCAGAAATTTGCCCATGTTGGCATCTTTCTGCTGCGCCCTCCATCGGCCTCCATCGTTTTGCATGGGCTTGGGCCTGTCTGTGGCTGGGCATTTTGGGCCTGTGCGCACCCCCACACCCCCCCCATGTCATGCACATCATGCCATCATGGTTTTGCTCTCTCTCTCTCTCTCTCTCTCTCTCTCTCTCTCTCTCTCTCTCTCTCTCTCTCTTTTCGTGGCTTTCATACATGCACACACCTTATGTTGCACAGGGTGTGTTTCTGAGAGAGCTAGGGAAGGCAGAGAGAGAGAGAGAGAGCTAAGTCTCCAACCCCGGGTGAGCCGCTACTTGGATCGATAGAATGAGCAAATCAAAAAGTGGCAGTGTATATTTCCACGTTTCAGSGGAAGATTCATTTCGTTTTTGCTCATCCTATCGATGGAATGTGTATGTGTGTGTGTGTGTGTGTGTGTGTGTGTGTGTGTGTGTGTGAGAGAGAGAGAGAGAGAGAAGGAGAGAGAGACGATAAGTCTCCAACCTTGGCCAAGTCTCCAACCCGCGCCTCGCCGCACGCTACTTGGATCGATAGAATGAGCAAATCAAAAAGTGGCAGTGTATATTTCCACGTTTTAGCGGAAGATTCATTCTGTTTTTTCTCATCCTATCGATGGAATGTGTGTGTGTGTGTGTGTGTGTGTGTGAGAGAGAGAGAGAGAGAGAGCCGATAAGTCTCCAACCTTGGCCAACAGCTAAGTCTCCAACCCCGCATGAGCTGCTACTTGGATCGATAGAATGAACAAATAAAAAAGCGGCAGTGTATATTTCCACGTTTCAGCGGAAGATTCATTTCGTTTTTGCTCATCCTATCGATGGAATGTGTGTGTGTGTGTGTGTGTGAGAGAGAGAGAGAGAGAGAGAGAGAGAGAGAGACGATAAGTCTCCAACCTTGGCCAACAGCCAAGTCTCTAACCCGCGCCTCGCCGCACGCTACTTGGATCGATAGAATGAGCAAATCAAAAAGTGGCAGTGTATATTTCCACGTTTCAGCGGAAGATTCATTCCGTTTTTGCTCATCCTATNTGGATCGATAGAATGAGCAAATCAAAAAGTGGCAGTGTATATTTCCACGTTTCAGCGGAAGATTCATTCCGTTTTTGCTCATCCTATCGATGGAATGTGTGTGTGATCTGGACATGAAAACGGCCACCGAACATGCATATGAGAGAGAGAGAGAGACGACTGCAGCGCGGCCGGATGTGACTGCGCAGGTACAGAGAGAGAGAGAGAGAGAGAGAGAGAGACGACAAGTCTCCAAACAGAGAGAGAGAGGGAGAGAGAGAGAGAGACGATAAGTCTCCAACCTTGGCCAACAGCCAAGTCTCCAACCCGCGCCTCGCCGCTCGCTACTTGGATCGATATAATGAGCAAATCAAAAAGTGGCAGTGTATATTTCCACGTTTCAGCGGAAGATTCATTCCGTGTTTGCTCATCCTATCGATTGAATGTGTGTGTGATCTGGACACATGAAAACGGCCACCGAACATGCATATGTGTGTGTGTGTGAGAGAGAGAGAGAGAGATACGACTGCAGCGCGGACGGATGTGGCTGGGCAGGTGCACAGAGAGACAGAGAGAGAGAGAGAGAGAGCGAGCCTGCATCAGCTCTTCCCACAGTCGGCCAGATGTCAAAGCCACGGACGTGGAAGTCGGCGAGTCGCAGCAGAAGGCGAGCATATGAACTCCACGGCGGCAGATTGCAGCTGCAAGGGCGATACAGAGTGCAGCCTTGTTTTTTAGGTGGCGGAGCGTTCAAATTCGAAATCTTCGCGCTTCCCTGTCCAATGGCATCTTGCAAAGATGCAGGCCCCGCAGGAGGGCAAATCGGACAGGCACCACGGGAAATGGGACCACAGGTCCGGTAGGTGCATTACGAAAAGATGGGCCCCTCACTGACAGGGGCCTGCACGAAAGTTCAGAGGCCCCAGGGGCAAATCAGAAAACCTCGGCCGTCCGAGGGCAAATCGCCAATAAACGGAAATTTCAGGGGCATTTTGCAAATTTTCCCAAAAAAAAAAGAAAAAAAAGAAAGAAAATGAAAGAAAACAAAGAGTCCCCACTCCAGGGATGTTGGGGAAGGGCCTCATGAGGGTGGAAGTTGTACCAGTGCTTTGACGAATGCATCTGGCGACTATGTCGGACAAGGGATTGTAGTTCATGCGAGGCTACGACTGCTTAGCCCCTACGGGGCCCTATTTGCAGCAAGGTCGGCCGCCCTAAGTGAAGGCAGGCACGACAGGCCCTTTGGGCCTCGTTTTTCAGGGTACCCCGCATTGGGGAAAATTCAGGCAGTTGCGCAGCGACAGTTGGTTGAGTGAACCCAGGCCCTGGGCCGCCTGTGTGAATGTACGAAGTGCAGGCCCTGGGCTGGATTCAGGTACCAGGCCGAACACAGGCCGAAAGCAGTTGGGCGCATGCAACCACTTCAGGCCCAAGGCCTGCTTTCCTCGTGAC